TGCTCCTACATCTGCGACGCCTTTCGATCCAGCATGGGTAAAACTTCCAGCGGACGTTAGGAGGAAGCAGAGCACCACGCTCTGTGCGAGACAGCGCCCGCTCGCTGCTTCTCCTCCTCTCCTTCCTCCCCGGCTGCCCTGACACGCGTGTGCCAAACTCCATGACCAAGAGAAACCAGGAGCTGTCCCAAAGCTGGCGCAAAACGTACCCGAGCTCTCCTACCCCTCTCTTCCAAGCCTGACGGGACACCTCACCCCGCAGTCATGCAAACACTTCCAGTCGCACACAACCGCGCTCAGGCCACCGACGTGCCAAAGCCACGACGGTCATCTGGGCACAGGATGCTGGTGCTTAAATATCGACACGAGGAGGCACACAGCCTTCTTCCAACATCCCTCAGGTTTGCAGAGGCTCCTGTTTAAGGCCAGTCCCCGATCTCCGCTGCAGCGGTACACGCTCTGGAGGGGCTCCCTTCGTTCACCTGGAGCGGGTCCAGGCTGACAGCGCTGCACGGGAGCTGGGACCAGCTCTATCACTCATGCATGCACGCACACACGCATAGAGCCACGTCTTTTCTCCGGTGAACTCTGCTGGCACCCAGAAGGAATTTCATTTGTATCAACTACTTAATATTCTCACTCCTTCCTTAGAAACCAGACTGCCGAAAAATCTTTCCAGCCAAGGCCCCTCCTTTCCTGTTTGAACCACCCCATCCCTCCCTCCCCCATACACACACACCGCAGAAACCTGGCTCTCTTGCTGGCACCTGATGGATTTCACCCTCTTCTTTTTTTTTTTTTTTTAATATATTGTTACTGTTGTTGAAACTTCAGATCAAAAGAAAAATGGAGATTTTCCTGTTTTGGATCCGAGGCTTTGCAGGCCTGTTGCTACTAGCTTTTGCCTTGACAGCTCGGGAGTTGCTTTGCATAAAGGACCTGCCGCTTGCACCCGCCGGGTCCCTCCCCAAGCGACACGTTTGCAGGCTGGCACGTCCCAAACCCCACTCCCACAAACCCCTGCCCTAACCCTCACCCTCGCCCCAGACCTTGGCGAAGGGCTGCCCACCTGCCCCGCCGCGTCCCCATTGCTTGCCCCTGAAGCCCCCGCATCCCTGAACGGGGAGCAGAAGAAGAGCACGGGAAGGAGAAACAGGGTAGGGGGGGAATATGTCGGGGAGGGATAAAGGACTGCACCGAACACGAGCTGCAGGAAACTTGGGCTCAGCAGCACTCCTCCTCCGCCTACTTCCAGCTGACGCAGCAAAGACGATTTTCTTAGGGCTAGTTCTGCAACCCCCGCCTTTCCCCTCCTGGTTATCGTTGGCTCACGGTTTCGTGAGGAAACTTGCCAAGTCTTGCTCGCTTTCTAGAAAGAGAGCAGGAATGAGAGAGGAGAAGGAAATATTTGACAACCTTTGTTTTTCCACGAGCCTTTTTAGGGCAGCAGGCTCCAATCTGTGCCCTCCGCTCCCCGGTGCTTGGCCTGACCTTGCTGTCTCAGCAGGAGGAAGTCTGGTGGGAGCACGGGGGGAGAAAAATGGAAAGACGTGGTGTATTTCAAAGGAAACCTAAACAAAACAGAGAAAATCCAGATTCCTGCAGCCTGTGCCATAAATGAAGCTCATTCATGGTTTTTACCAGGAACAGTCAATTACAGCCGTAATGTTTGGCTTTCGGTAGAGGACAGTGTCTGACTGCTGTGCCAGGAAGGACTAACAGAGACCGTCCCGTCAGTACCTACACATCCCTGTACTTAAAACGAGCCTTACCAAAGCCCTTTAATCCCACACTTGCTTTCATTTCCGACCTCTCAGCAAACCAGGAGCACATTCTGCCCAGTAGCTCCAGCGTTTCTCAGTACTGCTGTGCCCAGCTTACAGATGAGGAAACTGAGGCACGGTACCCAGCAGCATCTTGTCCCCAGGCAAGACATCTCTGGTCTACAGGAGAGCCAAGCCTGGCCTCCCAGGCTTGGGCTCTTATAATACCGCTTGCTGCGTCTCCACCTCGACTATAAGGAGGAAAGCATCTGCGATTTTAAACTCAGCCAGCGCAAGAGCAGAAATAGATAGAAAAGCAGTTTGATCTAGTCCTCGCTGCTGTCACATAGTTTATTTTGCAGAGTGCTGATTCTTTCTCAGTGGTTCGCAGCTCAGGGCCAATTTTGGTCATTGACAGACCAGAGGGCCAGGCCAGCTTCCCCAGCACACGGTCCCTGCACTGCTGGCCAAACTGGCAGAGGCCAGAAAGTTCAAGTCAAACTTAATTTCTTTCCTTGCCCCGTTGCTTAGAAACACGCCTATGAAAATATACTTTGTTCTCACACGCTACCAGTCGAATGCCAAGAGAGTTTTTTCCCTCCCTGTCCTCAGGAATTCCTGATTTATTTTTTATTTCTTTTTTGCAATCGTGCAAATCTCAAGAGGAGCCTGCCGGTCTCCCGCGGCTTCTTGCAGCAGCTTTTCCGATCCAGGCTCATCTCCCGGCTGTGAACAAAACCTGTCGAAAAGAGCCCCCTGCGGCGCTCGGGGAGTCCAACTGGAAGTGCAGGTAGTGCCAAGGGGTTGGTTTTGCAACTAACCTGCAAGCTCTTTCCTATCCCTCTCCTCGTTCATTCAACGGGTGCTGCCTATCCCAAGAAAACCAGAAGCAGCGATATTACAAGGGGACCGGCCAAAGTTTCAGGCAAAGCACCTGCTGACGGACCAGCTTCTTTGGGAAGAGCGAGGCAGGTGGAACAAGAGGAGATTCAAGCGGGGAGACGAGTGCCAAAGCTTTTCTGGGGGCCTTTGGTCTGCACGGGGCACCCTCACCAGGGGCACGAGGATCGGCCCCGCTCTCCCAGCTGCCGCTGGGTTTCAGCTGCATAGCTCTGCCTTCCCGACCACACCGCCTGCCCCCGGCCGCGCACACATACGCGCAGAGTAAATAAACACCGGGGATGACGCGCTCCGGGATACTTCGCATAGCTCCACTGCCAGCGGGTTATTGCCCGGCTTCCTGGGCTCCACGGCAGGAACGCGGCTCCTGGCTTCACCCGCAGCTCCCTGCGCAGGTCCCCTCCCAGCCCTCACCCCTTCCAGCTCCCCTTCAGAAAACCAAGCTCAGCTTTGCTGTTTCTGGCTGATTTTAAGGAAGTTTGGACATTTGTTGTCATTTGAGGGAGGGGGGAGGTTATACACACAGAATTTGGTTTTGCTGTGAAGGATGGAGCATAGCAACGCAACCACTGCCTGCAAGCAGCAAAGGGGAAAAATAATAAAAGCATCAAGATTTATTAGGTGCTAGGAAGGAGAAATGGATTCCCATTGCGTGGGTATAAGCAGAAGCTTGCTAACAAGCAAAAATGACTTTTTCATGGACCAAAAAAAAGTGGGGGGCTTGTTTCTGGGTTTTTTTTGCCAAGTGGTTCCCCAGTCCCCTGGACATACAGACACCCTCCCTGCCTCCCCTTCACACTGTGGCAGAAATACAGATGTATTTGGAGGAGTACAGGGAAAGTGTGTTTGCACAAGCTACGCGATCCAGAAATGGGAGTTAAACGAGTGCCAAAGTAAAGGAGCACTTTCTTTCGTGCTTTTGTCACGTGCAAGGTGCAAACATTTCAGAAGCTTGGCTTTTTGCACTGGTGCTACCATGCCAGCCTTCATGCTTGCTTTTAACCTATTCTTCATGATTCTTAGCAACACCATCATTATTTTTTGCAGTTGCAGATTCCCTGTCCCTAATGCACCTGCTCCCTTCACCTCCCTGGGCTAAACCCCGTTGCCCAACAAAGACGTCCAGCAGCGGGCAGCCAGGAGGAGCAGGCTGCAACGATTTCAGGGAGAAAGTGGGAGGCTGAGCAACAAACCCCGGGGTGGCTGAGGACTTTGGGGATGGGGCAGATGGTTGCAAGGAGGTGCCCTGCCCTCCCCTGTACCTCAAGCTGCAGAGGCCAGCTCAGGCCCCAGAGCAAGGTGGAGGATATGGTGAGAGAAAGGGGTCAGGGAGAGGGTGAAGACAGGGATGCAGGAAAGATGGAAGGGATGCAACTGGGGAAGGACTGGGATGCAGCTGTGACTAAAAGGGCGCATCTGGGAGGTGGGGGAAGAAAAGCTTTCCACTGGGGATGGGACAACCCTGAGGTGATGATGGAAGGGAGGGTGAGGAAGACTGTGAGATGATGCAACGGGAGGTTCGACCAGGGGATGGATGGAAAGAAGGATGGGAAAAGCAGCGGGGGGCATGGAAGAACAGCTAGGGGGATGGAAGAGTACCTGCAAAGATGGAAAAGCGGCTGGGGGGGATGGAAGAGCAGCCGGAAAGATGGAAAAGTAGCTGGAAAGGTGGAAAAGCAATAGGGGGATGGCAGAGCAGGCAGGGGAAGTGGTGGTGGTGGAGAAGCAGCAACCGGGGGCTTGGAAAAGCTGCCGGTGGAGGGGGTGGGGAGGGGAGGGAACAGGGAAATAGCTGGAAAGATGGAAAAGCAGCCAGGGTGTGTGTATGTGTCTGTGAGAGAGAAAAATCAGGCAGAAGGATGTAAAAGTAGCCAGAAAGATGGAAAAGCAGCTGGTGGTGGTGGAGGGGAATGGAAGAGCAGCCGGGAAGGCAGAAAAGCACACCGCGGGGGAGGGGGGATGGAAGAGCGGCTGAGGAGGGAGGGGATGGGAAAGCGGGCGGAAAGATGGAAAAGTGGCCGGGAAGGAGGAAAAGCAAGCGGGGGCACGGGAGGGCACCTGGAAGACGGAAAAGCAGCCGGAAGGATGGGAACGCAGCCGGGGGGACAGGGAAGAGCAGCCAGTGGGAGGGAGCAGAAAAGCGGGCGGAAAGAGCGAAAGGGAGCCGGAAAGGCAGAAAAGCAAGCGGAGGGGCATGGGAGAGCCCCCGGAAAGAGGGAAAACGCAGCCGGGAGATGGTGGCGGGGTGGGAACAGCGGTGGGAAAGATGGAAAAGGAGCCGGCGAGGCGGAGAAGCATCCGGGCAGGAGGAGGGTGGGAGAAGCGGGGGTCACTCACCGGCCTTGGCTTGCTCGCGGTAGCTCTTCTCGCTGAGGCAGACGGCCGTGCCGTGGAGCAGGGCGTGCAGCGGCTTCTCCTCGCCCTGGCGCGGGAGGCAGCGGAGCCCGCGGGCGCAGCGCTCGGTGTAGACGCCGCAGGGCTGGCCGGCGGGCAGGGCGCAGGTGAGGCAGCAGCCGCAGCCCGGCTCCTTCACCAGCTCGCAGCCCAGCGGCGGCGGCGGGCAGAGCGACAGCGCCTTGCCGTCGCAGGGCTCGCACTGCACGAAGGAGCCCAGGCACCGCGACAGCCCCGGGCAGGCGCCCAGCAGCACCAGGAGCCGCAGCAGCATCGCGGCGGGGATGCTGCGGGACGGGG